TGGGGACAGGTGATTGATGGATGGAGGTGATTGATGGATGGAGAGAAGACTCTACCTCCACCCTGTTTGTACGTTGCTCTCTCCTTGTCATCTTTGTTAATTGTAATCTAATATTTACAACATTAATGTTTTAATGTTTTACCTTGTTGTTTTTCTCTGTTGCAACCCATCAAGTCTCTAGGTGATATGGGCAGCATATAAATTTAGTAATAAATAAAAATAAGGATCCTGCCAAGTCTTAGCCAGTTATCAGAGTTTAGGCTCAGGATAAGAAGAATAACATAGTTGTTCAAGCAGAAAACCCTATACCATTTCAGACAAATGGTTGTCCAATCTCTTCTTAAAAACCTCCAGTGTTGGAGCACCCACAACCTTTGAAGGCAAGTCACTTCACTGATTTTTTTCTAACTGTCAGGAAATTTCTCCTTAGTTCTAGGTTGCTTCTCTCCTTGATTAGTTTCCATCTATTGCTTCTTAACCTGCCTTCAGGTTGACCCCCTCTTCTTTGTGGCAGCCTTTAGATATTGGAAGATTGCTATCATATCACCCCTAGTCCTTCTTTTGATTAAACTAGACATACCCAATGCCTGTTAAGCCTCCACCTGGTATTCTTTCAGTGTTTCCAGTGCCTTTTGGCTCATGTTGTGTTGCTCATAACCATATCTGACTGTGATCTTGTTGCTTCCTTCTGGATCTTGTGACTCTTAAGTTTTATTTTGGATTTCAGCATACCACCTCTTTGTACTGAATGAAAAAAAGCCTACTAACTGTTCTTAGTACTGATTTTTATTTGGAATAGACTTTTTCTTTCCCCTTCAGCTCTTTTGTTTGAAGAGTGATTTATAGGCACTAAGATAAGATAGAATAGTACTCTGGATTGCTTATTTTAAATTAGATCATTGGTTCATCTAAATCAATATTGTCAACACCGATTGGCAATCTTCCTTGGGGATTAAGACAAGAATTCTCTCAGCTCTAACCAGATGAATTGTTGTTGTTGTTTTAAACCAGGCAATGCTGCTCCTTTACTTCATGTTTTCTGCATCCCTCAGGTTTCAGCCAAAAAGGCCAGTCTTTTTTGTTTTGTTTCTAGAAACAGCTTTATTCTGAGTTAAATTGGTGGGAACCATCTGACATTGCTAGTTGAAGGAATTCTTGAGGGTTCATAATGCTTTCTATGCATGTGTGAGTTGGGAGTTAGGGCTGTCAGAGGCTTCCTTATCAGTTATGTGAGGAGAGCAGAGGACAAGACCCCAAAACACAAAAAGGCTGGGCCTGGCTGGATCTGGATCTGGATCTATCCAAATATGGATTTTGTTCAGTATTCTGTATCACACAAGGAGAACCAGTTTGGTCCAGTGGTTAAGCCACCAGGCTAAAAACTAGTAGATTGTGAGTTCTAGTCCCAACCTACCCATGAAAGCTGCTAGGTGACTTTGGGCCATTCACCCAGGGACTGTGAGTTCTAGTCCTGCATTAGGCATGAGAGCCAACTGGGTGACTTTGGGCCAATTACCAATAGACAGTGAGTCCTAATCAGATTTTAGACATGACAGCCAGTTGGGTGACTTTGGGCCAATCATAAGGAGACTGCAATTTGTAGTCCCACCTTGGGCAGGAAAGCTGACTGGGATGATATTGGAGGCCTCAGTCTGTCTCAGCCCATGCCATCAAGCTTGGGCGACAAGTCAGTTGGTCAATTCCTGTCACAACCAATGGATCAATACTTGGGTAGTCTGAAGGAAGCGGACCCTGCATTAGCAGGAAAAGGACAGGAACAAAAAAAGAACAATTCTGTGTCACTCAGTAACATATCTAATCTATTTGTACCTCATAAGCAGATCATGAAAGAATGTCGCTCTTCCTAACCCCAGCTGTAATCCTCGATTCAGAATGTAGCAGAAAGTAATAATAATAATAATAATGATAAAGTTGGAAGGGACCTCGGAGGTCATCTAGTCCAACCCCCTGCTCAGGCAGGAAACCCTATACCATTTCGGACAAATGGCTGTCCAGTTTCTTCTTAAAAACTTCCAGTGTTGGCGCATTCACCGCTTCTGGAGGCTAAGTCACTAATGAATTTATCTTAATCCCTTTTGAAAGCTACAGAACTAAATCATTAGCAGAAATGTATTTTTTAAAAAATCTGTAAAAAATCATTCCTGTCTGTTGTGCCGTGGGTATTCTCCTCTCTGCTGAAACATCCAGAAAGCCTGGGCTATGTGAGAATTCTGAAATGACAGCCATCAGTTAGTGGTCTGATTTATGTGTCAAATTGGTTGAATTTATCCTATTCCCTCCATATTTTGCTTAGACCAAATCTGTTGCTTTGCATGGTAGGCTGAATGAAGGCAGCTGCCTCCAGCTTTCATAACATAAGATGTGCATATCTCCCAGCAGGAGACCTCCGTTAGCAATGCAGTAAATAAATAAACTGAAGGAAATATGTTATTGCTTTCATATCGAGTGTCTAAACCCATTTCAGACAATGAAAGCTGAATACAGGAAGAAGCACACACATACACACACACACACACACACAGAGATCAGAACCTAAATGGTCTGTCTGCCACCTAGAGATGCCACCAAGGTTTAGCATGTAAGCATCAATAGAACGGCTTCGGAAGAACTTAGTGCATTGAATAAAATCTCACAAGCAACCATGAAAAAAAAAAGGCTTTTGATTCAGCATACCTAGCAGGGGATCCTAGGAAATTTCTTTTGTTCTTAAATATAATTGATTCCAACCCATAGCACTGAAAAAACATGTCCCTCTGAAGACCTCCATCCCCCTTTTTTTAAAAAACAAAACTACACTTTTGTATTAAAAACACAGGGGATGTTATTTTGGGCTTTACAATAAACACAGGCAGTGTTCTATAGAGGTGAAAAGATTCACAAATGCCCACAACTGAAGAACAGTTTTTGAAATTAATGGAATTGGCAGAGATAGCAAAACTAACTACTCTGAGGAAAGACGAAAGCCAATTTAGATTTGTTTCTATTCAGAGGCCACTTTTGTACTGCTTACTTGAGAAAGATAAAAATGAGGTTTCAGCTTCACTATTCAGGGTTCAGGATTCGATTATTTGATTTCTTATGGTTACAGAAATGTTGTATATTTTGCTATTATTAGAAATGCACACTATATATTTATATGTTTATGTTTAAACCTAGAGTAAGAGGATGCATACATACATGCGTACAGATAAACATATGCTTATACATATGCATGTATTTATATATATATATACATACACACATACACATAGACATTCGTTCATTCATTCATTCATTCATTCATTCCTTGTCTGGGGAATTCTGGGAGCTGAAGTCCATACCTGTTCAAGTTGCTAAGATTGAGAAACAGTGGTCTAAACTCTAGTCCCTGAATCAACTGTATTGTTGTGTTTAGAGACAATGATAGCCTTGTCTATGCAGGAGAAAAAGAGGCTGAGCTGGAAAGCAGGGTTAAATATGTCATAACTTTGGAATCATTGCATTGTCACAAAAGACCTAAGTCCAGTCCCTCCCCAGTAAATTCCATTGCCCTCTATATAGCACCAATTTAGCTTTGACCATTTCATTGACAAGATTCTTTTATTAGAAGTAACAATAATAAACTCTTCTTTGCAAATGTTCCTGGTTATTCCCCCCACCCACCTACCCCGACAGTCTACCTATCACCACTCTGTTAAAAGCACCCTATAGTCTCAAACATTACATTTGGTAATCTATCCCACCAAATGTGGTTCAGTTTGATTTGAGGATCACAGCTACAGCTAAGCAAAGCAACCATCTAACTTACCACCCAAATCTGCAGAGTACTTTTTACACAGCATATAAGAAGCAGAAATAAATCCTTCTCGTGAACACTACCTCTTCACTTACCTTATAGTAACACTTAAAGTCATCCCCATAAAATAGTTATGACTGCATTTTATTTTGCTTTCATATAAAAATTTTTTAGATTGGTTTGCTCTAAAGGGAGACCCTGCATGAGTAGATAAACATTAGAAAGAGGAGCGAAGAAGCAAGCTAATTTGTATTTAATTCCACTTCCATGATGTCGTATCCAAAAATCACATGAAATTTCAATTAATTCTCCGGGTAATATCCGAGAACAGTTTTCTCTGGAATAAAGGCTACACCTGGGTTCTGATTTACAAAGCAGGAATAGATTTTAAAATAACCTCAACAGACGTAAACAGGCATTGGGCTGGGAGGAAAGAAAGCAACCCTTTAATCAATCTTTAACCAAACACCCTGTTCTGTATGAACAAGTGTGCCATCAAAGAAGGTTAACTAATCAGCATTCAGTCCTCTTGTATAAGCCATGTTATTTGGTTATAGCTAATTCTCCTTGTACAATGCACACTGTTCTGAACAATAATTCAATGCAGCTTGGTTAGGAAGCATCTTGTTATTGACAAAAGAACAGTTACTATTATAAGCAGATCTCTAACAAACAACAACTTGGTAGATTTGCAATGCCAACCCAGGCATGGATTTCTGCAATGCCAACCCAGGCATGGATTTCTGCAAGTTGTATCCACTGTTTTTTTGCAGTCTGTCTAACTAATTTCCTAACGGTCTCTTGATTTGGTGTATAAAATTAGGTTATATTGTTTGGGGGACCTTTGTGTTTCCTAGCAGGATTGCTGATTTGGTGAATCATTTTCACCACAAAGAGGGGGCTCAACCTATTCTCCTGAAGGCAGGACAAGGAGCAATGGATGGAACTAAGGACAAATTTCTTGACAGTTAGAACAATTAATTAATAGAACAGCTTGCTTTCAGAAGTTGTGAGTGCTCCATCACTGGAGGCTTTTAAGGAGAGACTGGACAGGCACTTGTCTGAAATGGTATAGGGTCTCCTACCAGAGCAGGGGAGTTGGACTATAAGACCTCCAAGGTCCCTTCCAACTTTGTTATTCTGATATTCTATTATAATTTATTTTGATGCTCCTGAATCTCATCATACTCTGTTTCCTTCACAGTACCTCCGGATGATCCAATCATCATTGGAGGACCGATCATCAGTCTGCGAGCTGGTGACCCCCTGAATCTTACCTGTCATGCTGACAATGCCAAACCAGCAGCGTCTATCATCTGGATGAGGAGGGGAGAAGTCATCAATGGAGCAACCTATTCCAAGGTAAGCAGATCTGACACCTGGAAGGGAGCAAGCAAAGATAGTTTGGGTTTACAGAGTTTGCCACCAGGAGCTTTTGAATGAAGTATAGGTAGTCCTCCACTTACGACCACAGTTTTTGTTGCTAAGCAACGCAGTTTTGCTAAGTGACTTGGGCCTGGTTTTACAACCTTTTTTATCACTGTTGTTTGTCACAAATGGCATGACCTCAGGATTCAACCATTGTAAATACATGCCAATTGCCAGTGGCCAAGCACCCAAATTCGACCATGTGATTGTGGGGATGCTGTAACCCTTGTAAGTGGTAAGGACCAGTGGTAAGTCACTTTTTTCAGTGCTGTTGTCATACTGAACAGCCACTAAATTAGTGGCTGTAAGCAGTGGTGGGATTCAAATACATGAACAACCGGTTCTCTGTGTGGATGCCGCTTCCGAAAGTCCATTCTGGGCCTGGGCAAGAAAAAATTAGCTACCGGTTCTGCCGAACTGGTGCGAACTGGCTGAATCCCACCACTGGTTGTAAGTTGAGAACTGCCTTTGTTCAGATGCCTTCTTCTTGGAGATTTCAGCCCACATTCTTTCTGTCATACAACTCACGTCCTCACATCTGGCATTCCATCCCAGCACTGAATCCAGACCTACTTAGTTTTAGAAAAGAGGGGGAATTATATGCTGTTTTACAATGCTCTGGGATCTTCTTTTTGAAGAACAATAGAAGTAGAATAAGTAGTCGGGATAATGTTCTTTTCTCTAAATCGTAATATAAGAAGCTCAAGTGATATGGGGTAGGTGCTCAGCAGAAAAGCCAGAATGGATAAATATACTATTGTTTCATATATTACATAGCGTTGTATGAAATCCAAATGACCAATAGGCACCCACAACCTGGATCCCACAGAGGCTGAAATAATACCACGCCACTTTGGAAAATGGGGGTGGGGAAAGGACCCAAACATGGAGACAAGCAAAGACAGAACTGTAAAAACCAAGGATTTGGGACAAAACAAACTTTATTCAGGGCAAATTGTCCCCCTGCAGCTGGAGAGGCCATAAGCTAGACTGTACACCATCCTTTGGTCTCCAGCTGAGCATTTTGCCAATATGACACCGGGCTATAATTTCTGAAAGAGCGCTCGGTGCCTGAGTGCAGCATTATATTAGTTTCTAAGAGTTTTATTTCCACTGTAAAGAAAAACTCTGCTGCTGAAAACACCACTAAAGGTGCCTCACGGGCAAGCAAAAAGCAGGAGACTTCAGGAAGAAAAGGCTGTGGAAAGTAATAGCTCTCACCTCTGCATATTATAAACCACCATCTTGAAGATGTCAGCCTCACCTTCGTGCCTTTTGGCACAACTTTTATCTTGGGCTGCCTTGAAGTTTTATTATTATTATTATTATTATTATTATTATTGCAGGGATGGAAATCTAGGTTCATATGATTTTGTTGTATGTTTGTATTTGGATGGCAAGAAGATGCCACTTTCTCGATGATTGATCCTTGTTGGTGTGGCTGGTTGAAAGTGAGAAGGCAGAAGGAAGAAGCTTAGATACCCAGCAACAGACATGATGGTGAAGAATGCTTAGTAGGTAGGCTCAGCTGTGAAGTCCAAAGACTATCCTGAACAAAACCTGATCTGAATCTGTAGTCCAATACAGTTTTGAGATGATGTGAAGCATAATTCATCATTTCTGAAAAGCATCCAGTTGGAGAGAACTGGTCTATTCTTGTTGATCCATACTTGCTGGCTTCAGGCTTCTGGCAAAAGGTTTTCTCCTCCTCACCAGAAAAATTAAGAATCTGGAACTTCCCATTGACACAGCTGCAATGAGATTCAGGACTCACAACTAAGGAAGGTCAAGTCCAGAATCAAGGAAGGTTTGATTGGCTATGATGAGATTGTCCAAGTAAAGTCCCAGCTTGGTCAGGAATAGAATAGAATAGAATAGAATAGAATAGACCTTGGAGGTCTTCTAGTCCAGCCCCCTGCTCAGGCAGGAAACCCTATACCATTTCAGACATTGTCTAGTATCTCTTCTTAAAAGATTCCAGTGATGGAGCACCCACGATTTCTGGAGGCAAGCTGTTTCACTGGTTAATTGTCCTCACTGTCAGGAACTTTCTCCTTAATTCCAGGTTGATTCTCTCCTTGACCAGTTTCCAACCATTGTTTCTCATCCTTCCCTCTGGTGCTCTGGTGAACAACCTGACCCCCCTCTGCCTTGTGGCAGCCCCTCAGATACTGGAACACTGCTATCACGTCTCCCCTATTCTTTTCTTTAGACTAGCCAGACCCAACTCCCGCAGCCGTTCTTTGTATGTTTTCGCCTCCAGGCCTTTGATCATCTTAGTTGCCCTTCTCTGAATTTTTTCCAAACTCTCAACATCTTCTTTGTGATATGGTGACCAAAATTGGCGGCAGTATTCCAGGTGTGGTCTTACAAGGGCTTTGTAAAGTGTTACTAATACTTTGCGTGATCTTGATTCTGCGCCTCTGTTTATACAACCCAGGATTGTGATCTGTTTGGTTCTTGTTGAAAGGAGCCAATCACCACTCTAATTGGATGTCTGGAACTAATCCAGGACCTAGGAAATCTTAACAGATGGGAGATATTGTTTTCCCAACAGAGGTTTCACTACATGTGGCAATTGCAGACCAAACTGGGACCAGCCCCACATTCACACCATATCTATGCACAGGAACTGCATGTCTCAATCCTTTGAATGGCAGATACTCATTTCTCTGAAGTGATTGTTTGCTTGCTTGCTTGCTTTTGTTTGTTCAGTGCAAAGTGCTTCTGCTTTTGTGAACATCATATCTGATGTTGTTTGGAAGCGATCCAAACTGCATACAGAGATTCTTTGTGTACAATTTATAATTTAGTGGCAAAACATCAGATTTGCATGCAAATGTTCCCAGGTTCAGTGGTTAGCACCTATAGTAAACTCTTGCACGAAGCTCAGAAACTGGAAAATGGCTGCCAGTTGAGACTGACAGCATTAGGCTGAATGGCCAACAGTCTGGCTTAGCGTAAAGGCAACTTCTAATATTCTTATGGAGACATATGCAGCTTTTGTTCCAAAAATGCTTGGAGGCCCATGCTGATATTGTCCCTTATTCCACAGTTTCATAACCATGGATATGGTCTTCTGAATACTTCCAGAAGACAGGCCTGTTCCTCCTCCCATCAATGAGCACAAATTGAAGAAGTATTGACATGTTGATCAGTGTACACTAGCAAGATCAGGAACAGAAGAAGGCAGAAATAATATCGAACAATATTGCCTTACAGACAGAGCCAGTTTGGCGTTGTGGTTAAGGCGCCAAACTAGAAATTGGGAGTTCAAACTCCATCTTAAGCACAAATCCAGCTGGATGTCCTCAAGCTAGCCACACACTCTCAGCCCTGTAAAGAAAAGGGCAAACGCAAAACACTTCGGAAAATCTTGCTCAGAAGATGTAGGGACCAATGCAGAATCTAGAGCAGGCACTCGCTAGGAGTCAACGCTGATTTTTGAAGGCCACTCCAAAATTTTCCTTCTATGTAAAATACAGGTAGTTCTCGACTTACAGCCATTTATGTAGTGACCGTTCAAAGTTACAACGGCCCTGAAAAACATGACAGTCACACGTATGACCATTGCAGCATCCCCATGGTCATAGGATTAAAATTTGGATGCTTGGCAACTGGTTCATATTTATGATGGTTGCCGTGACCTGGGGTCATGTGATTTCCCTTTTGTAGCCCTTCTGTCAAGCAAAGTCAATGCAAAAGCCAGATTCATTTTACAGTTGTGTTACTAACTTAACAACTGCAGTGATCCACTTAACAGCTGTGGCAGGAAAGGTCCTAAAATGGGGCAGAATTCACTTAACTGTCTCACTTATCAACAGAAATCTTGGGCTCAATTTTGGTGGTAAGTCGAGGACTACCTATACAAAGAGTCCCTCTTTTTTTCACTTTCTGTGACCTTGGTTAGTTAAAATATCTTTGGGGCTAGGCTGCCTTCTGCTCTCTGCCTTCATCCCCCTTTACAAACTCCATCCTTTGGGCACTGATCTGCTATCGTGGAATGAGCCCAGCCTCTGATTTATTCTGATTTATTCTGACCTGTTTCTCGAGGCCATCTGATTTGCCTGCAATCTCACCAGAAGATTCTTGCTTTATTACACCTGAACCCTAAGACATTTAATTCTTCCTAAACATGGGCCATCATTTCGGAAAGAACCTCTGGGAGACCAAAGTTGCAAGAGAAAAAGGAAATGGGAGTAGAAAAGATAAGGCATGGATTTCGGAAAGCCCAACACAGATGGTGCTATTTGCACCTTGGTGTTTTGAAATCCCTTTTCCGATCTCTCCTGTTTCTTTTAGATGCCTTTGCTCACTCTTCCTACTCCCCTACTCCCCTTCTATGGGTCGTCTCCATCGACACCAGAAGCACACACTCTTGTTTTTCAGAATACCGTGAGAATGCAGAAGAGGAATTAAGTCAGGGGCTTAACTTTGCCTCCCGAAATTCCAGACACCGGCCAAGACTAATTAGAACCACTGTTCCCTACCCTCATTTTGTGTTGAATTAATTCCAGTCTGGTCCATTAATGTGACATTCTGCCTGCAGATTTTTTCTGAGCCTGGTACAAAAACCTGCTTGCCCTCTCCTATTTATAAGTCTACTCCCTTATGTAAAAGAAAGAGAAAAAGAAAAAGAAAAAAAAGAGTAGAATGCATCAAATCTCTTTCTATCCTATCTATACCCAATTCCAGATTAGGTGAAGCTATTCAATCCCAGAATGAGGTTGCTAAATTGCTAAAATAAATACTGGTATTCCAGTAAAGTAGTCCTCGACTTATAACAGTTCATTTAGTGACCGTTCAGAGTTAACAACGGCACTGAAAAAAATGACTTACGACCGTTTTTCACACTTACGACCGTTGCAGCATCCCCACGGTCACGTGATCAAAATTCAGATGCTTGGCAACTGGTTCATATTTATGACGGTTGC